TAGCTAGACTTCACGTCGTGAAGCCTCGCTTTGTGATATTGTGAGAGACGATTGAAGCTGCAGTGAAGACGTTGCTTAGTGCCACACACTCTAACGGAAGTGAAAATATCTTTGCTGAGAAAAGAACAACTTGGTTCTACTTTGTGTAACTCTCGCTGTATGGAGGACTGTCGAGTTCAACTCCTGCCTTGACCGCTAGCTGGATTTGTTCTGAGTTCAAACCTTCGGCCATCGTTATGAATAGCCAACTGGTTCGTCTCTCTATCCCCCGCCACTGTTGGCATCCTTAACCCTGTTATGTTTAATTTGAATTATTTTACTACCTCTTAAAAACCCTTTGAGGGGAGAGGATAAAAAAAGTTGCTAGACATTTTTATTTCAAGTGGATTTTACACAGGGTAAGGTTTTCGTCCAAATTGTGTTGCGTACCGAGGAGGAGGGAGTCTCTGAATCCGAAATTGGACCAAAAATATTTTCAAAATCCATAGCCTGTTTGGCAGGCGCAAAAAGGGGAGGGGGGAGGGGGGAGGGAGAAAGGGAAAAGGGAAGGGAGCCCTCCCCCTCTCCCCAATCCCCTCCCCTTTTTCCCTTCCTCCCTATCCCCTATCCCCTACCCCTTTCGACGCAGGCTACAAAATCCGCCAATCCGTTGGCCTATTCACCTCCCTCCTTATGGGAGGTTTGAATGTAAACACAGCAAGAAGGAATCTCAACTGGGCGGAGGCAAACCAGTTTGGTATATTTTAGAAAAGCATGTGTCAGCTGGGTTGAACGTGGACTTTTTTAACCAAGAACAAATCAAGCAAAATGGTCATGGCTGGAATTGAACTTAGGACCCTCAGATTGCAAGACTAGCACTTTTAAACCACTCGGTTATCCTGCCTTCCTTCCCTGAGTAAATGGGGACATCACTGAAGAGTGCAATATAAAAATTACTTTGGGGAGTTGCACAAAGTTTGAGTTCTCGAGAGTTCGAGTTATTGGGGGGTAAAATTACATTAAATGTATGAAGGAAATCCAGGGGAAATTGAATTTGCTTGAGTTAGCACAAGTTTCAAGCAAGGGTTCAATTTATATCTTAACACTGGAATAGGCAGTAATAGTGAAGTTATGCAATAGGATGGCAGGGGAGAGAAGACAGTAAACCTTGTGTGACAAGTGCGACAGTAATTATATTTGATAAAAATTCCTCTCAACTTTTTTAACCTTTCTTTAAATCAGTGCTAGATCCAGATCTTGAGATAAGTTGGGGGGCGGGGGTGGTGGTATCCGAAAAATATTTTTCCACCCTTTGGGCTTCAGTTTGGTCTAAAAATAAGGGGGGCCCAGGGGGGATCCGCCACCGAAAATAGTTCTTTCCTTAAAATGCCAGAACACAGTAACATGAGAAGATCATGACACACATAACCATTCATTGTCCTTACAATTAGCTAACTATTAGCACAGTATTAGTTTATGCAACAGAACAGCAGAAAGAAGAGCATGCCAAAACGTCTATGTGTGACAAAAGTGACAGGGGCATTACTTGCCTGACTTTACATTTTTTACGAAAAAATCTCTTTAAAGGAGGACGAAGTTTGGAAAAAAATTTTCTCAAACAAAAATTATTGTCACGTTTTTGACACAAGGTTTGCCGTCTTTTTTCCTCTGCCGTCTTATTGCGTAAGTTCACCAATGTCGTGGTCACGCAACGCTTGCTGCCGATTCCAAATTCCGTCGTAAGTGCGCAACATAAATTCTTTACGGTATATTTCATGGCAGTTTAAGCAAGTATGAGTTCTCTGTCATAATTTATCATCATAAACACTGATCAAAAAGTGGCATACTTTTTACATCGAAGATGCACACATAATAAAATTGGATGAAAATTGAAATTGCCACGCACAAGCGGAAAAACGCAACACATAAAACACCTGATTCTTTTATACGGTATCCGTACATGTAGCTCCATGGTTCCAGCGTAACGTTTGAGATAAATATTTAGAGAAGTATCGGTTATCATAGCCGTACACTTTCGTTTAGTTCCCTTAAAATAATAATTTTCTCGACCAAAGTGTTTCGTAGGGGGCTATGTCAGCTGGAGAGCATGCGGTCAGAGGTTATGCAAATTACTTTCCACTGTCAAAATTCTATTGTTTTTAAGCGCTCTGAGATTATGCAAATTACTTTCAACTGTCAAAATTCTATTGCTTTTAACGCGTGACTTTCTTCATGTTCTCTGTCACGTCCAAGGTTCGAGATTAACAAGCGAAATGGGTTTAGATAAGGGATATTTCGATAGAATTTATGGAACGTTTCTTCTCTGGTTATGCTAGATCAAGAATAAAATTGTGACGACAATTTTACTTGTAGTTTTGAAGTAAAAACGCATGCCATTCATAAAATAGAGCGCAAACAAAAATTCAACAACAACATATTGTCTTATTCAACAAAATAAATGGAAGTTGTATTTTACAAACGAGCTACAAAAGACGCTAGACCGAAGATAAAGACCAAGACTGTTTCAAATCATTAACAATTAGACTTGTCTGTCGCTATTGATTTTATAATTTAGATGCTGATAGAACAAGAGACCAAGTCTTTGTTTTGATCTTAGGGAAACATACATTATCGCGCAAAATTGTTCGATCGTGCCGAATCACTGCGACGTCGAGAAAAACAGAACCCAGCATCATTGGTATACTACTCCACTATAAGCAGTCCGTTGATAAAAAGGGAAAGTATGCTATTTTCCAAAATTAAGCTCGAACACAAACGGTTCAAAAACATGGCATTTACGGGATCTAACTCGTACTAAGGTGCCTCTCTAAGTCCGTTGAGAACAATCTGGACGAGCAAACGGTCGTGTTTATCTTTGCCGTGAAACGAGATAAATACAAGAAGGAATCTAGCCGAATTTTAGAATGTTTCCTTCGCCAGGAGTTTAGTTTCGTCACGAAACTCATGTCCTGATGCTCTTGTAATCGTTTACAAAAAACGGCCGCCGCCAACTCGATAGCCGCTTCATTATATGTCCACATACTTTGAGCACAAGAAAAATCCAAGAGCCAGCAGCCTCTAAAACAACTCAATAGAAAGGTCCTGTGAACTATAGGGAAGATTCCATCAAAGATTCCATCGCTCATTGTGGAGTAGCCGTCACTAACTCTGCCATTACAACGGCCGCTGATAAGAGGACACAGTAAATCCACGTAAAAACATTCCACAGGCAAACAATTTTAAAATAACGCCAAAAAATTGTTCTGTAATCACCATAGAACGATTCTTAATACAAAACTTCGCTAACTATCGAACGATGGCTGAGATTTAGACAGATAAAAAGAGGCCTTCCAAAATCTCCGACACAACTTGAAAAAGTTGGGCCGTCTTTTTCAAGTTTGTTTTCATTGGCTCGCGCATGCGTGTTGGGTGACATAGCCCCTTTAAACCTAGGTATTAAATGACCACTGCGGTCAAGTCGATCGATTGTCAACTGTATCCCCGAGCAGAAGACAACATAAAATGGTTTTGTTAAAAGAAGAGTACTTACCAAAAGCAAAAGTTAAATCGAAACGGTCTGACCTCTTAATAGTTCCTCGTCGTGCTTGGCCGGCCTTGCAGCTGAAATGTAAATTGTAACGTGTCGCAACCAATCATGGAACGTGACGTGGAAACAAATCAGTAATTAAGAATATCATTATCACATTTCGTAACCAATAATGGCTGCCGGATTAATATTCTTTTGTTTAAATTAAAATTAGCGTAACTAGCCTCGCTTGCGAAAATGTATTCTTTTGAATTTTGTACTGGAGAACGAGGCTAGTTGGGCTAATTTAAATTCAAACAAAAGAATGTTAATCAAGCAGCCATTTTTGCATTGGGTCTATAACTGATACAAATGAACTAATACTAACATATACAATCGAACAAAAATACAAAAATGGTTAACAGGACGGTAGTAGGGGGAAACCAAATTCCTATGCTAAGACATACCCTCCAAAAAAGAAAGAAGGAAAAAAATTAATTAATTAATATATAAACATATATTAAAAGACTATAAATTAGACTATAAATTATAAACCTAGATGCCTAATAATAATGCATAAACTTATATTAAAGACACTATGCCTAGTATTTTAAGGTAAATTATGAACGAAGGTACTAAATCAGTGAAACTTTAAAAGACTGGCTAGGAGATGACATTACTTCAGAAGGCAAAGAGTTCCAATCATTAATAGGGAGCTTAAGCAGCAGCGTTTTTGAGCGACGGACGTCAACCGGAAGTGGACTTTTTGCATGATTGGGCAGTGGTTTGGTTGAAACTCTCGGGTAAATCGTCTTTAAAAGAGAAAACAAACTCAGCAATACAAGTTTGTTAGCGTCAAGGCAGATAGAAAGGCAGAAGGCCTCACTTCCGGTTGACGTGCGTCGCTCAAAAACGTCTTTGCTTAAGGTCCCTATTATATCTATGCAGAAACTTGCTTTTTTGAGGGGACTTGAGGGGACTGTATATTCATAAGAGCATTTGAAAACAATATCTTACACAAAATTTGTGGGGCTGCGGTGGTGGTGTGGTGGTGGTGGTGTTGGGGGGGGGGGGGTAGACGTTAAACAGAGTTGATTTTGGGGATTTGAAAATAGCGAATAGCAGCCTAATCGCAAGTTAGCCAGAAACATAGACAGGTTATAGGTGCAGGACAGGTATTTTAATATACACTTTATTTCAGACATTTTACTGGTACTTCACGTCCCCAAGTCCCGTAGTCCATGTCCCCGTTCCCGTAATTCACATCACCCAGCCTAGATGAACGAGGAGCTCCCGTTGCATGACTACGACCGTGACTTTTGAAGCCATTCGATATTGAGGCGGCGTTCACCTTTTCCTTCACGATTAAAAGAAGACGAACATGGCAGCAACAGTGGCTAAATCTTATTTTAACGCTGATATCCCAGAAATTGTGGTTAAAAGTCTGTTTAAGAAATATGACACTGATGGTAGTGGACGACTTGGAAAGAATGAAATGTCAAGTATGTTGAAAGATGATCTGGGTATGTCGCCCGAGCAAGCTCAAGCATGCATTTTAATGGTTGACAAAGATGGCTGTGGTCAAGTCTCTTTTGATGAATTCTCCTTATGGCTTCGAACCAGTAAGGGCTTCGATGACGTCGACAAAAAGTCCAGATTCTACGTGATCCAGGAAGCCGTAAAACTCTTCAAGAAATTCGATAAGGACGACAGTGACACCATTGACAGAGAAGAGTTCAAGGAGTTGATGGCTTCACTTAACGCTTGCGACGAATCGCAACTTGACAGCGCCAGGCAAAGTTTGGATACGAGCGGAGATGGTAAAATTTCTTTCTCAGAATTTTTGAACTGGCTGAACTGGCTTCCGAGAAATTAAGTCATGATCATATGAAGCAAGCCGAACTGTAATAATAATTAATGACCTTAAAGGAGCTGTGTCACGAAATTCACGGCCAAATTAGGAAATTAAAAAAATGCCCGTTAAATTAAGAGAAGCAAAAAATAACTTGAAAGGAAGGTTAAAATAACATAACAGAAACAACAGATGCCACGGATGGGCAAAACTGAAGAAGATTGAAACGGATTGAAATTAGGGTTTTTGAAAACTGTTCAGCCTAACAGTTTTTCAAAGTTGATCCCTGCTACTTGCAACTTCAAAAATAATGCTCAGGAGACATATTTGTCTGTCTCGGATCTCTGATTTTGTCATTTACATGTAATTTCTTTGCTTACTTCAAGTTCCATAGCAATTGAGGGCGAGTAATTGGCAAAATTAAACAAAATGAACTGGACTGCCGTAACACAGCCCCTTTAAGGTACACCGTTTCATTGACTGCTTACGGGTACTGGTATGCGTAGATGTTTACCTGGTAGTTTTATAAAAGGCAGCCATGATTTCCAAGTTGTGATAATGGCTAACCAATCTACCCGGTAGCATACCCGTTTTTCCCGGGTAAGAGGCAATCTACCTGTATTTACAGCTACGTGTACAGCTAATAAAAGTACATGTGCATGGAAACGGTGTACCTTGAGGTCTCTAATATCAGCAGCTTTCCCGCGGTCGACCACTGGGGATTTGTTGACATAGCACTATTAGGGTAAATCCAGCAAGTAACATGGCCTTGAAACAGTGGCACGGGACAGGAGAAATGGTAACAAATGACACAAAGATTGCTTGAAACTGCAACAGCAACAGAGAAAAGTGCAAATACTTTAGTAAAATACA